TTTTGTTTCTCATTTAAATATGCAATAAATTGAATTTAACTTCAATTTAGAATAACTGCATTTCAAACATAATTGAAAATAGTTTTGCTTTTTAATAGTATTTTGAAACCAGTTCTGTGTATATGTTTGCAAGATCTTTGTATCAAATTAAGTCTTTCAACTGATGATAAAAGCTGATTATAAGTTTTATAGTTTTACTAATATACACTTGACATGGGAGATGGTTATATATTATATTTCTGCAGTATGATCTCTTTACAGATTGGCATTTCACTAGCATTTTGACCTAACTAGACAAAAGGTTTCTTTCTGGGCAGAAGGGGCGATGATAAAGAATTGTTACAGAATGTTTAACCTTGATGTTTATTTGCAGCTGTTCTTGAATAAAAGAAAGAGAAAACAAAAGCATTGTAGTATTTTCTTATCAAAAGGCTTTTTAAGTTTGGTCTCACTTGGTAACGTTATTTTTTTCTTTTTTTCTTTTATGATGTTTCATTGGAAACAGCTGGAAGATGCAACATTTCTACTGTGGAGCAAAGACACACTGCCATAACTTTTTTAAATTATTTTTTTAAAATAAATATAATCTCTTCCACTGTAGAATTTTTGGTACTTATCCGTAGGATAATCATATTGCAATTGCCACTTTCAAAGCAATTTAAAATTGGGTTGACAAAAAATATGAAAGTAAATTTCATTATCAAGTAAATACGTTTCTCCTCAGTCTTAGACAAAATTAAAGTTAATCCAAACTGTGCAATTACAGATAACAAATATGAATTATTATATTTTTTTTTAACAATAATGTTCACCCTGAACAAGGCCCAAGATCCACTTGAGGTAGAGCATTACAGGATTCTTAAAAATAGAATTAAGTCATGTGAATTCATACAGTCTGTCACAAGAGGATATAGTGAAACATTATTTATTTTACAATGATGTTCACCCTATACAAGGCCCAAGAGCCACTCGAGGTGGAGATGTACAGAATAAGAGGCACAGTTTATGGATATGCGGGGTATATTATAGTCGGGCTTAGACTTGAACAGATAGTTTTTATATTATTGTTTACTCAGTACAAGGCTCAAGAGTCACTCAAGGTGGAGAGTTACCAAAGGGGGTAGGTGTAAAGGGAGGAGGAAAATATGCTTTTTATGTAGGATATATAAGAGTTGACTATAGAGCTGAGGTATGAGATTGTAGTAACTGAGAAACCATCCACTCGGGAGTCTGTTCCAGAAAATAACTATTCTAGGAAAAAAGCTGTCAAATCTACATCTCAACAATGGAATATGAAGGGAATGGGGATGGTTCACTGTGATGGGCCTGGTATGGCAAGTCTCAACTGGGAGGGTAAGAACTGATAGAACGTAGGATAATCATATTGCAATTGCCACTTTCAAAGCAATTTAAAATTGGGTTGACAAAAAATATGAAAGTAAATTTCATTATCAAACAGATACGCAGTAGAAAGGAAACACCCTTCTCCTCAGTCTTAGGCAAAATTAAAGATAATCCAAACTGTGAAATTACAAATATTAATGAATTATTATTATTTTTTTTTTTTTTATAATATTGTTCATCCTGAACAAGGCCCAAGAGCCACTTGAGGTTGAGGGTTACAGGATTCTTAAAAATAGAATTAAGTCATGTGAATTCATATAATCTGCTACAAGTGGATATAGTGAAACATGACTTATTTTACAATGACGTTCACCCTGTACAAGGCTAAAGAGCCACTCAAGGTAGAGATATACATAATAAGAGGCATGGTTTATGTGGATATGTGGGGAAGATAAAGGTTAACCCCTCTACTTGAGCAGGTTAAGATTGTAGTCATCAGAGAAAGCATCATCTTGGGAGTTGGTTCTACAGGGCAGCAATTTATGGGAGGAAGCTACTCAAGTGAAATCTATATCTTAGCAATGACATATGAAGGGAGTGAGTGTGGTTCACTATGATGGGCATGATATGGTGGGTCTCAACTGGGAGGGTAAGAACTGGTGGAACTAAAGAATGTAATTTATCTGAACATTTTCCATGGAAATTGCAATTTTCATTAATTTTTTTGAAAGAAATGTAGAGTTTATAAATTTTGACAAAAAATGTTAGTGATAACTTCAACAATACTAAATACAGTGAGGATTTCAACATGTTGACGCATGTTGCAAAAAAAAAAAATCTAGTAAAATAAAAAAACACGTATAAATACTAATAATATTACTTATAAAAAAATAGACAGCTTAACATCAATAAAATTTATTCATATTAGGAAAAAATTTACTAATTATATTTAAAAACTAATAGTTAAAAAAGAATACACTACCTGTTACTTGAATGAAAAGTTATGTAACAACTACTGGCATGTGAAAATTCAACACTTGAATATCACTAACGAAACATGGTGCCTATGCATGCACAACCCTAAAAACACAAAAATAAAATTCTTTTATAATGGCTTATGAAAGCCAAAAGTGTTTCCAAGACATTGGACAATTTATGTTCAAATTCTCCCTGGAAATTGGAAGAAAATGTTTGAAACTGTAAAAATGAATAAAATAAAAAAAAAGAAAAACTTTAAGAAAATATTCTTGCTGGTATTCAACTAAACATGATGCTGAAAAGTTGTTGGTCTGACCACTTCCTAAAATTTGAACAAATGACTGTACATTAGATTTTATTTTTGGATCCCTTCTTAGTCTGGCTGAGGACTTCTCAGTACCCTGTATGTGTTATATTGTCATTGCATCTCATTCTGATAATCTTTCCTTCTTAAATATCTCTTCAGTTTTCATCTTTTAAAGTTTAAGAGTGAATTATAATTTTTTATTTTTCCTGCTGCATCTGTAATGACTGTAAAAGAATGGAGTGCTGAAAAGTTCCCAGCCAAAACTACTCTACACTCCCCCCACCCCAAAAAAGAATCACTGTTATAGATGTTTGGCTGTTGAAATAGTTTTTGAGATGTGGGTCAGGTGGGGGGTGAAATCAGTATCAATTATGTTACCACATGTTCATGTTTGGTATTTAATATATTTTATGTATTCTATTTTCTTAAATATAACTCCTTACTTATTGCTGGCATTGGGTGTTTGCTTGGGTAAGGTCTACCGTATAACATTACCATCAACCAACCAAAATAAGAACCCACATATTTTTCCAACAGGAACATAGTTTTCATGAATGAGAAAAACTGATATGTCACGGGGGATAAAATCTGAAACCACTTTACCGCCAAATATTCTAAGTGGTTATAATCTAATAGAAATTGCAGATTCCTGTGTTAAGACAAGAAGAATAAGAAAAATAGGAATAAGAAAAATAGGAATAATAAGAGTAAGAAAAAGGAATAAGAAAAATAACTTTTTAATGCAGACTGAATCACATGCATAGATGAGGTCTATCCAGAAAGTATCCAACCAATAAATGAAAAATAGAAAAAAAAAAAAAAAAATACCTACCTATGGAAATGGCACCTCTTCAATGTGCTCTTCTTGAAACCTTACAAACATTTCTCTACATCTCATCCACTTTTTCAACACTCTGCAATGTCTTCTTTTGGGATTGCCATCAGCTTCTACATTGTATTCTCTTTAATCTCCTTTATGACATTTCAACATCAATGTTAGATTTGGGAAAAGCCAAAAGTTACAGTATGTCAAATTTAGACTCTGTGTAACTGACAGACATATGTGATGTTTGGATGAAAATCTCTGCATAAGTGAATATGACAGCAAGTTCACTCAGTGATGTTTAATTGGCATCTGGGTAACCCCATGGGAGAATGTCTGTTCATGCATGTACAGAAATGTTACCCTCTAATTGGCTGCAAAATTATATCAAGGCTGCACAATCAGTTTTTGATACACATACTAAAAATAGTTTATTTTCTGAATTTAAAAACCTCTTCTTCCATATGCTGTGTCCCTTCAGAACGTGAGCATCATGGTTCTCCACAACTTCCCGTCCTTTGTAGCTCTTAGCAAGGTTTGTCTTTTTGCTATCTCTCCTAATCCCTGTTCTGCCAACAATTTACAAAAGCTCATTAGGTAGGTTATTTACTGCTTTCCTCTCTCTCTCTCTTATCTTCAATGTCCTGTGTGTGTTACATTTTCCAAACCCCCTTTTCTCATTATGTACAAAGTTTTAGAGAAAATGGAAACAAACACTTTAAAAACTTACTGGACTTAAAACTTGCTCATTGTTTTCACAAATACACTTATATTCAAATAATGAGAAGTAAGTTCCACTTGAGCAGCTTCTTCCCATGAACCACTGCCTTGTGAAACTGACTCTGTGGAATCTTTTGGCTATTCTTTTAACTATTAGCAAAGATAATTTTTTTTTTTTTTTTAATAAAATCATTCTTCTAACTCTAGATACATACATAAAAACAAATTCATACATTAAGTTAAAATTTATAAATATAAATGACAACACAGCAATAAAAACAATATCTCCACATGTGACAGTAATTGACGTAATTTTCAGTCAACAGTATGAAAATAGTGTTCTCTAAATTCTTCCAGTTGCTAAGGACATTTTGTTTTTGTTATTATTAGTTACTTTGTTTAAATAAATTCATTTCGTTTTTTGCCTTGAGAAAGTCCACATTGGACGAAACGTGTCGGCAACTACTAGTTTTCCTATTGTCATTTATGTTTATAAATATTGTCTTTTTACAAGTTAACACTGAGAAATTTTCGCATTAAGTTAAAAGTAAAAATAAAATCACCCTAGGTAATGGCTAAAAGAATAGCTGAAAGTGTACATACTTTATGCCCAGAAAAGAAAAAGATTATAAAAACACAAGAAAAATTAAATTAAAAAACAAAATTGCAATACCTTGTCAGTTGCTTTTAACAGAACTTGAATAAAAGACGGATTGCTGCCCAAATACACAATTTTGTAGTTCTTTTTTTATTTTTTTTAAACTTTTGTAATGGCTGGAATTTCATGGGATATTTTCATTTTTTTATATTGTGTATTTTCTCAAAGAAATGCCATTTCTTTTTCTTTTCTTCCTGCTTGTTAAGTGCAACCTGTCAGTGTTCACAGGTCCACATTATGAGTTTTTTTTTATTGTCTTGCTGCTATAAACATTTGGTGACAGCTGATATCACCCACAGCAATTCATCAGAAGGAGCTGCAACAGCAAAAAACTGCCTGCTATGAAAGTAGGAGGAAAAGTTACTATGATCTGAAAATGATCGAGTCGAATGTCATCAAGTTGGTAAATCATTATGTCCGGGAGCATGCTTATCTTAAGAACCTGGCAGTTCTTATATACCTGACTCTTTTGTCAGCTGTATTGCTTGTAACTTGGGCCTTCAAACGGAATGGTATTCGCTTTGTCAGTCATGCAAGTGTGGCCAGCATCATTGGTAAGGTTTTTTTTTGTTTTGTTTTTTCATTCCTCCCATCTTCATTTTAAGTTAAAAACTTTTTTTTGAGTGATATAGCAGGTTTCTTACCCACATCAACACAGTATTTGGGGATAGATATGTACTTGATATGTTATATAGATAATTTTAGAATATATGTTAAAGCTCAGAAATTGTCTCATTACAATAATCAAATTGTTTGAGTTTCCTGTGAACTTTTACAAACTTCCCAAAAGTAACTAATATATATATATATATATATATATATATATAAGGAACATGCTGTCGAGGGAGGCAGTTCCTACCCTGAATAAAATAGATCAGCAGCTACATTTTCCATTTGTGGTGCAATATGCACCTAATCCAAAAAAATTATGAAGGTTACTCTGATAATTATGCATAAAATGTAAAATATTTTATTTTTTTGTAGATTTATTGCATAAAGGTCACAAGCTACCTACCCTGAGTAATTATTGACTGCACGTCTTTTATATATATATATATACACATACATACACACACACACACAATCTGACTAAATATGTATATTTGTAGCCTTGGTGCCTGTACATATTGATGTATCTGTGTATGTATTATACATTAATATTCACATAGAAAATCATTTTCATCCTTTTCTGTGTGAAATATGTTCTTGGACAAACTACATTCCTTGGTTTCTTCAGGTATAAATTTCACGGCTAAGATGTGCCATGCCACTTATATTGTAGTAAAACACCTACATTCCCTCTGTACTCCATCAGTGAGAAGTCAGTTTCACTTGAACAGCTTCTTCCCCGCAAATCACTACTCTGTGGAACTGACTCCTCAAGAGGTTGTTTCCTCGATCACTACAATCTTAGCCTTTTCAAGTATAAGATTAACTGTTATCTCCTTCTCCTATCTGTATAAACTGCCTCTTAATGTAACCCTCTACCATGAATGGAACCTGGGGCTTGTACAGGATGAACTTTAATGTAAAAAAAAAAAAAAAAAAATACATACACGAGAGGTATTGAAAAGAAAGTTCTCCATTTGACCAAATGGACAGAATTTATTTTTAAATAGCTTCTTGGTTTGTCTGGAAATGTTTCTGTGCCTTATGTGTGTAATGTAATGTTTATATATATATATATATATATATATATATATATTAGTACAGGTAATTGATCCATTGGTATATAATCTGGGTGGATCCTAGTAATATTAATTATTAAAACTGATCCACAGAGAGCTCAATGTTTTTATTTTAACAGAGCATATGTATTTTTTACAGCAAAAAAACAAAAATTACCTCAATATAGAGATAGTCTATCATCAGTCCCTAAGTGCCTGTCTTGAAGCATTGTTTTAAATTTATTTTCAACGTCAGTCCTCCTCTGGTAGATGCCTTGTTAATGAGAATGGGTTTTGTGTTAGCGATTGGTGGGGGCATAAGATAATCTTATCCCGGATGAAGCAGTCTGGGGTTGAATGGCCAGAACCTTTAAGGTGTCTACCAGAGGAAGACTGACATTGAAAATAAATTTAAAACAGCACTCCGAGACACTTATGGACTGATGATAGTCTACTTCAAGCCGTTCTGTGCATGGCTATCTCTATGTTGAGGAATTTTTTTTGCTGTGTATGTGTGTGTATATATATATATATATATATATATATAATGAAATGGACAAAGTCCAACAATTATCTGTCTATATTTCTAGGACACATGGCACAGTAGATAAAGGCGTTGGTTAGATCCAGTGACAGGACCCAAAAAGTGTGAGTTCAATACCCAGTTAAGGCAGTGGAGAACTTTCAGAGGGAAAATTAACAGGAGATAACTGATAACTGACATTCATTAAATATGGCACATGGAACTAGAACAGTCTGCTCCAGTGAGCGAAATAAAGGGTTCAGTTTGACATTCCAACAACCTGAAGAAGGCCAGAAACGTTGTAATAAACATGGCGACAAAGATGAGGACAATAGTCTGAATAATGTAAATAATGTCCAACAATTATTTTTAAGACATTTTTATATAAAATTTGGGCATGCATCTGAGTGGTTAGAATGTTTGCTTCCTGTCCATGAGACCTGGGTTCAAATCTTATCATGGGAAATTTGTCACTTTGTGCTGTTATTGGTCTGGGGAGGTGATTCCCAGCATATCCCACCACCTTTGGAAAGAGCCTGAAAACTATACTGCTGGTTGACCCAATCCTAGTCAGTGAAATTGGGTAAATGGATCTGTTTGGAAGCTATTGACGGTTGTGCTAACACAGTCACAAGTCATCGTGACTTAGGGTTTAAGCATACTAGGGTTGATCAAACTGCTGATTATGACAGATTATACACTTATTTCCCACAAACTGTAACTAATGTCTGCTCAGCATAGTTTCAGTATAAATCATGAGTGGGCTCTGTTGGGGTTGAATGAATGCAAATGTACCTGAATAGGTGTCTGCAGCTGGATGATTTAAAAAAAAAAAAATCTGACATTAATTTCTTCAATAGTATTTTCAATCTCTAGGCATGCAGACTTTAATTTCACTGTTAAAAAACAAAAACAAAAAAAAAAAAAAACTAATCCCTGTTCAGAAATTTATATTAATAAAACATTTATATATTTAAGACATGCCTCATTAAATAATTTGTTTTATTTACTTATTCTTATTAGGATCCTCTCATATTTATGGATGAGTTTCTTAGTATCCTTATTAAAGGAAGAAAGAAAGAAAATTACCATGTTGATGTATATCCATTTTATTCCCTAGTACTTTCGACATTAGCACAATGTCATCTTCAGGGTCTTGTTTTTGCTAAGACAAAATTGCTGTGTTCATCTGAAAAATAAATTATTTACTTGTGAAGTGAAAAACGCTAAACTTTGTTACTGTACAATTTTTAAATGTTACGATGTAAACATACATATGCAGTAACATCAAGGGAGATAACTAAGTTATTGAGATGTCTGACTATTTTAATATATATATATATATATATACACACACACACACACACACACACACACACACACACACTTAGCTGATACATATTACATATTACTTTCAGCATCACAATTCCAGAGTTTCATAGATAGACCCTCTGAATATTATTCCATCCACTCTTGTGTGTGTGTGTATGCAAATATCAGTGTGTCACATTTTTTACAACTTTATTCCTAGAGGTTGTAGCCCATCATTTTGGAATCAGGCTGACTCCATGATCAAATTAAAAACATTTTGGGCTTGACCTAGACCTGCAATCCTGAAATTTGGGATTCCCAAGTTTTTATTACTGTGATTGTTTTTTTTTATTTTTTTTTTATTTATTTATTTATTTTTTTATTATGTGATTTTTTTTCTGATGGATTTTTTGTATGATAACAATTGGTATTAATTGAAATTGTGAAATTTAGCAAAAGTCACCCATGAAATAAAAATAATGGTTTATATGGAAAGTAAAAACCTGTATACATCAAATTGTCTTTTAATTAAATCGTGGCAGAAGAATTATTGTTGAATTTTTAAAAAGTAAACTTAAATATTAATGTAATACTTAAATGGCGCAATCAATTTTGAGTTCTATTGTTGCCTACCTCACAAAAAGAAATCTTCACCAACAGAGGACAAGATTGCAATCAAAAGAGCCAAGGCTGCAGCAAGGAAAAGAAAGTCCCGTGTAAATGAAAACCCAGATCAAATAGCAGCTAGGAGAGCTTCTAATGCAGAGAATATGCAAAAACTTAGGGACTCTCAAACTTGTGAACAAGTCAGAGGCTCAATCAAGAGCCCTCTGAAAGAGCTAGCTTAGCTGATATGGTGGCTTTTAAGCTAGTGTGTGTATATATATATATATATATATATATATATAATGTGTTGCAGCTTTAACACACCAAATAATGATATTCTAATTGATATTAACATAATGATATTCTCAGGAAGAATAGGGACTAGTTGTTTTTGTACTTGTTGAAGTTCTTAGAGATTTTATTAACTAAAATAATATTCTATCTTTACAAGATTCTCATTATTAAATTAAATAATCATAAAATTGTTCATACGTATTATTTATTCAGCTGCATGTAATTTATCCGATAGATTTTTAACTTTTGATTGGTAATTAATTATACATCATCATTAAAATTTTACTTATTTATGTTGGTTATAATTTGAATAAATATGCAATGTTTAGAATTTGAATAGTTTAGACAATGTTTCTATTAAGTAAGAATATCTTTTTATTTTATCTTTTTTGTTTTTAGTTTTTAGTCTATATATCTTTAAGACATAGATGGAGACTATAACACAATGACAAAACAGCTTTGTTTAATGATAACATCTTATTATATTACTTATGTAAAGATATATATTTTATTTTTATTCTTAAACTCTGCTTTATATTACAAATGGTTTGAAAATTAACTTTAAATCTTGCTTCTTCTTTTTAATATTTCAGGAAAGACGAATGTTTTCTAAAGTTTTGTATAAAACTTGTAATTATGTTTTTTTTTTAAAGCAGGTTTTTACGTTTTTAATGAAGTTAAAAACATTAGTTTAAACGGAAGCACAGAAAAATAAATTAAGACATTTTGTCTTGGTTTTGCTTTTATAGCGAATTTTAATAACTTTCTAAAATGAAAGCAAAAACCTCTTTAATACTTATGCAATTACTGTAATTGCGCTCGGTAACCTCATTTTGAAATATTGAGAGTGTTTTCCTCTTTAAAACTTGTTAAACTTTTTTAAAAATATTTTCTTAGTCATATTAGAAACCTACTTAGAATTGAAGTTTTTTTCTCTCTCTATTTTATTTAAAAATTTTTTTTTTGTCTATATAGACATGTCCAATTTTTTATTAAATGAAAAATTGTCAGCTCTTATTAATTTTTCTCTTGTATTTCTTTCATTTAAATTTCTTTTTATTGGCACTATTTGGTTCATCACTCTCTGACTATTGGTAAACAGTGTGGAGGAAATGTAATATGTTCACTGGAACTCTTACCATGTGAGTTTTGC